AGTAAACTAAATACATTTCTAACCAAAAGTATACAGTAATATTATATTACTGTGTGTGTGTGTGTGTGTGTGTGTGTGTGTGTGTGTGTGTGCTGCAGTGTCTGGAATCATGGGGACATTTTAAAATCACCTGGAAGAATGAATGTTTTCAGTCATATCCTGTTACAAATCTGCAAATTAGTTGGGGCTGAATTATTATTATTATTATTATTAGCCTGGACAATTGTATAGACAATCCATCCATCAACATAAAGTATGAAACTCTGGTACATGCTACAAGATGGTGTAGGATTATATTTGGGGGTATTTTTACTTTTTTGTTTTCCATATTTATTAGGAGGGGGGTATACATGGAGAGTATGATATTGTCCAGTACCACTGAACCATCACCTCAGTGTGAAGGTTTTTGTTTATTTATAAGCAGCACCTGTGGGAAAGATTTATGAAGCATTCTCTGTAACTGGACAGGTCGTGAACCAATCCCAACAGATAACACCGTGAGGAAGAGCTTTTTTGGCATTTGTAAATTTCTGAAGAAACGATGCTGAAATCTTGAGGAAAAAATCTGATAAATTTAGAGATTGATATCTGAGTGTGTGAAATGTGGTGCCTGTTGGTACTTGACAGAGGTATGTGTTTGGGTATTATGTTCCTGGAGGATAACATATGCAGTTGTATGAGGTATTAATAAATACATTTGTATTGTTGTATTTAAATACTGTGAAGTGTTGATATGTCTATGCCTTTAATTTGTAAAATCGACTTTTCATTTCTTTATATTTATATGATGCACACAATCTCATCATGATCTGATTTTATTTATGAAGAGTTTATTTTGGAAGAACAACATTGTTAAAGGGATGGTTCACCCTAAAAATGAAAATTCACTCATTATTTACTCACCATTATGCCAATGGAGGTGTGGGTGAAGTGTTTGAGTCCACAAAACACTTTTGGAGTTTCAAGAGTAAACAGTGTTTAACAGCAGCAGCCAAATGCAATACAATTGAAGTAAATGGAAAAACAACAGAAAAAAACAGAAAACGCCTCTATACTGCTCCTGTGATGTCATACAAGTGTCCGTAAGCCCCAACATTCAAATTTGACTTGAAATGATATAATTTACACCATGTTTTTAGTCTAAATGTCAGCTAATATCCTCCTCTGAAGCAGCATTCATGTGTGGATCTCAGCCGACATTTAGGCTAAAAACATAACAGTGTACCTGTATTTGTTTCGAGTCGATTTTTGAATGCCAGGGCTCATGGACACATGTATGACACCACAGGAGCTCAAGATGCAAAATCATATAGCTGCTTCAAATAGTTTACAGGAATTTATAGCCAGGTTGTCATTTTTCAGGTTAGAGCCATAGCCCCTCACAATGTCCATGCATCTCCCTGCCTGTGGACCTAAAGAGTCTAAGATACACACACACACGTTTGTACCTTAACCTCAACTGTCACCCTTAAAACCAAGTCTTAACCCTTAAACGCCCCTTTGAAAAAGTGAGGGCCGGCAAAGTGTCCTCACTATACAAAAATGTCCTCAATCTGTAGGGTCTATGCTTAAAGTGGTCGTCACACAGATACAATTATAGAACACGCACACAACACACACACACACACACACACACACACACACACACACACACACACACACACACACGACATTAAACATAAATCCTCTGAAGCAGAGGCGAGCCTCGACCAGCAGAGGGCGGTCACATGTCATTTTACAGATGAAGAGGAGCGTCTCGAGCTGTTGGTCATTGTTCCTTTCCCCCCGAATAAATGCACAGCCAGTGATTCAAATAGAAAATGTCCCCCACAAGTAGAACAAAACGGCTTCCAATGATTTTAAACTGAATAAGACTTTTTATATTTGGTCTGTTGGTTGGACAAAACAAGCACCTTAAAAAGGCCACTTGGACTCAAAATTGTGTATGATTTCCTGATGAATAAATGAATTAATCAAAATAGAGTTAGTCTTTTACCAACAATGTGGCATGTGTAATTGACTTCAGCAAAACTGTTTAAATCCTAACTCACTACTGAACAGTCAGCACACACTAATACGTTTTCCACTGTTGTTCTTCCAATACAATCAAGTTAGAGCCCACAGTATCAAGCTTGCAGACAGGAACAACTGTGTCCGTGCAGGACTTTCAATGTAAAACTATTATTTTAAAGTTCTGATTTGAGTCAAAAGAGAAGTCACACAAAGACAGGATTAAAATGTACCTGACACTCCCTGTATTATCTCAGAGTTGGGTTGATACTCAACAAAAGTAAGGTTTGCATAATTTAAAAAAAAGCATGTAGACCACCTTAAAATAACTTTATTTGTTCTTAATCAGTTGCGGCTGGCCATCTTTCTCGTACTCGCCTGCATTGTTGTGGTGTCTCCTTTAAAAAAACTTTTAGAAAATAGAAATTCTAAACATATGATCATATTTATTGTAATTATTATTAGCAGGTGACTACATTAATAAAACAAAACAAATAAATAAATGAAGACTACCGACATAGCAAAATAGTTTTGGCTGACATCCCGCATCTGTGCAACTTTCTCAATGCACTTGCTGGCTGGGTTGTTCCAAGCATCTTGTAGAAGCTGCCACACGTTCCTCTCTGGGTTGAGGCTGCCTCTGCTTCCTCGAAGTTTGGGATCTTTTATTTTGAAGGGAACACCATCGGATATCCTGCCTCACCATGCCTGGCTTGACTCCGCGTGGTGCCCGGTGCTCAGAGGTGAAGACGCTCCTCTGTCCTGATCCCGGCAGCAGAGGGACTGGTCCCCGGCTCTGATCTGAACACACACTCACACTCTCTCTCTCTCTCTCACACACACTCACACTCACGTGCACACACTGCGGAGTCGGGGTGAGTCTGTCCTTTTAGACCAGTGTGTGTCTTCTGTCGTTGTGTGAGGACAAACTGTGTGAGGTGAGGGAGACGCGCTGGACCTCATCACACACTTTCTGCTTGTTGGCGTGGATGTGTTTCCTCCAGCATCATGGACGACTGATTCACGCACTTTCCTCACCCAACAGGTACGTTTAAAGTTATCATGTCATTAAATGCAAGGAGGAATACAAAAACAATGTGTGGCTGTCATGAGCCAAAATCACTTTGGTTTCATGAGCATTCATTTGAACTCCTCAACGCAACAAGAGCTAAAGTGATACATGTGGTTAAATTCATGAAGTGTTTTGTTTGTCTGAAGTGTGTGTGTGTGTGTGTGTGTGTGAGACAGTTTGTAAACTCCACGATCTGTGTTTACCTACATCTTGAATATCTTTAATACAATGACTATAATCCCTTTGAATTGAACACACACACGTTTGTACTTCTATCTTAGTGCGGGGACTCATTGGCATAATGCATCCAAAGTAAATCCCTAACCCTAAAACCAAGTCTTAACCCTGAAACAAGCTATTGTAAAAGTGAGGACCGGCCAGAGTGTCCTCACTCTGTAGGGTCTATGCTTAAAATGGTCCTCACAAGTAGAAAAAAACTTTACAGTATCCAGTAGCTGTGGACCAGCAGTGGGGTTCAGGCCACACACACACACACACACACA